TCTCTCCTTCTACTATGGGTCCTGGGAATCAAACAGATCGTCTGCCCAGATGGCACCTGTGAACACGCATGCACATGTATAGTGAGGGCAGCAGTCAATGTTGTATCTTTTTTTAGATGAAATTATTAATTGAAAAATTGGGTGAGGTGTTGTTCAGAGATGACTCAGAGGATAAAGGCACTGCTGGTGGAATCTGATGACCTGAATTCAGTTCGGGGGACCCATATGATGGAACAACAATACCCTCAAACTATCCTCTGATCTCCACACACGTGCCGTAGTAAATAAAATACTTTTGAAATGTTGCTGTGGAAATCTGTCTCTCCTTGTGGCAAGCATCTTTACCTGTTGGCTGTCCCACAGGCCCAGGATCCAGGTTCTTCCCCCTAAGCTGCATAAAGGACCCCTGTGCAGAGCTGCGACATAGACTGCAGAAACTAGCACACGTGTGAGGTGGGGTAGGTGATTCAGTGCTACGACATAGACTGCAGAAACTAGCACATGTGTGAGGTGGGTTAGGTGATTCAGTGCTGCGACATAGACTGCAGAAACTAACACACGTGTGAGGTGGGGTAGGTGATTCAGTGAGTAAAGGTGCTCCCCGCCAAACCTAATGACCTGAGTTGGATCCTTGGAACCTGGAAGGTGGAAGGAGAGACCCAACTTCCCTGCATTGCCCTCCGACCTCCCCCATGCACTGTGGCATGTGTATATACATGTGCGCACGCACGCACGCACGCACCACACAAATAAAAAATTGAGTGATGGTTCACTGGCATATACTGAGAAAGCGTTAAGTATTAGAGTACCATTATGTCTGGGAGACTTGAGTATCTTGGGGTGTGTCTGATATGTAGCTGAGCCCAGGACTACAGGAAAGAATCTAGCACCATTTAACCCCCACTTTTCCTGCCGGGTGTTTGAAAGACTTGCCGAGGTTGTGGCCGTCTGGCTGGGGACAGCTCTTTTGTATAACAGATGTTACCCAGATGTCAAGCCAGGGTCAATAGGAGATTTGGCGCCTGCCTCTCTCCCACGGCCTGCCGGGAGCCCAGTGCCCTCCCTGAGATGTCTGCGAATTCCCAGGGCCTCTGTTCTCATGGTTGCATCTTGGCTTGGGTTCCTGCCTGCTGCCCGTTCCTGGGCGGAGAGGCATTCATTTTGGGGGAAACCAGCTCTGTTTGTTCATTTGTCCCCTAGATCGGCCTTGTTTCTGCATCCGATTGCTCACAAGTCCACAATGCCTCCAAAACACAGTGCCCTCCCTGAGAGCCCACCGTTCCAAGGGGTCTGACATTGTTTAGCTTCCTCCAGTAAGATCATGCCTGACAAAGAATCCCAGTGCTGGCAGGAAAAACTTGCACAGTTCTTGCATAACACCGCCAAGAGTGTTATGACTGGCTTAGAGCTAAACAGGCTGTTGAGAGCAGGGGAAATCTCGCTGAGGACACCCAAGGTCAGTGGCTGTGTGAGGACGCTGGACAGGCGTTTGCCTTGGCAAGGTGGTGTAAGACTGAGGCTGGGAGTCAGTCTGCAGACACAGGAGCTGGTACAGTACTTACAAGGAGACTGGCTGTCAGGCTGAGGCAGTGACCTGGGGAGTTGAGGGAGCAGTTAATTCCAGGCCAATATCAAAGGACCAGCTGTCAGTGTTTTGGGGGACAGAGGGAGGAGGCACAACTCTCCATTTGTTACCCTTAGCAGACCGATGAGTTCTCACAGACTTCAGGGTCCTCCACTTAGGCCAAACTGGGGTTTGCGGCTGCAAAGCAAAAAAGAATTTTAGGACTAGCTGGTTTATAAGCAAAGTTAGGAGTTAAAAAAAGGCGGCGGTAGGGGGGAGGCTTGTGAGCTGTGTCAGTTGGTAAAGGTACTTGTAGCCAGGCCTGACTTCCTGAGTTCAATTCCTGAGACCCTCAAAAAATGAGAAGGCAAAAACAGACTCTACAGAGCTGTCCTCCGTATGCCTGACTCCCTCTCAGTCTCCTCTCTGTTTCTGCCACTCATCTCATGCACACTGTAAAAATAATGATCACGTATAATAATGTATACGTATAAAGATTTTACTTATTTTAAATTTTGTGTAAGTGTGTGGAGGCCAGAGCCCAACTTTCAGGCGGGCCCAGGGATTCAGGCTTGCCTACAAAGCAGCCCAAGATGCCTTAATATAGGCTTACACACGAGGCTTTAGAGGAAGAGAGACACCCAGAAATCAGGAAGACACACCTGGGAGTACGGGGGTGTGGCTACTCAAAGAAAAGTCATAAAAAGTGAGACCCACCCAAGGGCTGGTAAGAACTCCTCATCCAGAGTCTTACCAAATCATTGCGTCTTTTTAGTCTTTGAGGCAGAATCTCACTAACGCCCTCGGGCCTAGAACTTACAGAGATCCACCTGCTTCTGCCTCCTGGATGCTGGGGTCAAAGGTGTGAGCCACCAGGCCTGGTCATAGATCTTGATGGTCCCATCTTTAATGGATGGCTGAGGAAACTGTGATTGGGTGGGCCCTGGAAGGCGTCTGGCAGGACTGTAAGTGATAAGGTACAGTCTGGCTCACGGGGATGTTTTTACTGAAAGCAAAATTAACACTTTTATTTTTATTTTTTAAGATTCTAAGTAAAGTCTGGGGAAAGGAATGGGGACTCTACCCAAACTAGTGTGTGTTTAAAGATTAAGCCTGGTTCATTGCTATTTTAACATCGAATCTCTAAATATGAAAGCAATATTAACTCAGTGTCATCTGCCTTCACACCAAATATTATGCTGCAATTCTTGTTTTTCAACTGGAATGAGGGGTTCAGTTCCTTTGTCTTCTCATATCCCTATATTTTTTATGTCTTTTTTTAAAAATTATTTTTTGCGTGAAAAGTTCCTGCACCCTATGAACCTCCACCGACACAATAATCCAAATCAGACCAAATCAAGTCGAATTAGAAAAGGCCCAGGTTTAAAGGGTACAATGTCCCTGGATGATTTTTCGGCCTTCCAGAGAGATGTGGGGGCTGTTTAAACGCCCTGTGGGAGTGATCTTGAGCATCTCTGGGGAGAGGTCATCATTTGGCGGGCTTTCTGAGATGTAGCAGGGTATGGAGAGAGATAGGGGAGTGGGCTTGGGTGGAGCGTCCACCAGAACCTTCCAGATTCTTTGGGTGTATGGATGCCAGAGGCCGGGGTGCAGCTTTCACCAGAACATCATATATGAGTGTTTTGTCCATATATGTGTGTGCCTGGTTCCCTGGGATGCATTGGGACTGGCGTTTCAGATGGTTGTGAGTCTCCACGTGGGAACTAGGAACTGAACCTGGGTCTTTGGAAAGAGCAGCAATGTTCTTAACCTCTCTGAGCTGTGTCTTGTGTCTTTCTATTCTGCCTCACAATGACAGTCATGTCAAGCAAGACTTTTAGAAAATTACTCAGGGGCTACAGCCAGTAGAACATGCTATGCATTGATTTGGTTCTTGCCATCATAGACTGGCCTACTGGAGATCACAGGCTGAAGTAGCAGCAACAGGAACTTCCATGGGATGGAAGCATCCCTGGGCTGGTCAGGATGAGTTGGCCTAGCTCAGGATTGGTCTAGTTTTAGGATGAAGGTGTAGTATGTGGTAGAGAGATGTATCTCACTCAAGTCTTCAAGAAAGCTGGTGTTCTGATGAACGTAACCATGTCTCAGCAATATGGACTGGATTGTACCGAAGCTTGCTTCAAGGAAAGGCTTGCTTGCTTTCTGCATAGTGTGCGATGTCATTTGTAATGAACTTGAATGGAAACTTGGCATAAGCAAGGGCTGTTGGGGAGCATATTGACTGGCCTGCCTTCGGTCCTCCTTCCTTCCTTCCTTCTTTTCCTCCCTCCCTCTCTCCCTCCCTCCCTCCCTCCCTCCTTTCTTACCTTCCTCCTTCCCTCCCTTCCTTTCTCCCTCTCTTTCTTCCTCCCTGCCTCTCTCTCTCTCTTTTCATCTCTCCCTCCCTCCCTCCTTCCCTCTCTTCCTGCCCTGTGTTTGGTAGAGGTATCAAATTGATGTTCTTTTGGGTGTGTGTGTATTGGACTAGAGCCCAGGGTTTGGCATCTTCTAGGCAAATCCTCTGTCTCAGCTTAATCCCCACCCCATTTTCAACGTTTAACGTTTTAGGGTCAACTCTCATGTTGGAATACACCCAAATCTAATTCCTCAGCTCCCCAAATGTTTCTCTGAAAGATTTTTGCAGATAAGAAAGTGATATCATGGTCACTCCTCAGCCTGATCTATGAAACTCATTCTGATCCAGGCCCCCCCCCCCAATAATTAAAACCCAGGACTTTACACATGCTGGACAAGTGCTAGACTGAGCCACAACCCCAGAAGCTCGCAGTGGACTCTAGGCTGGCACTCCACTATCAAGACACATCTCCAGATTCTTCTTGGATGGCTCTCGGCAGGTGCTCTATGTGCTGAGCCATGGCATGCCCTTGAGTTAAGAACTTCTCGTTTAGTTAGGTTCTTATTTTGTACACGTGAGGAGAGAGACATAAACCCCCAAAGGTTTGTTCAGGGTCACTCGGGTGACCAGTGACAACACTGGTGTCAGAACTGGATGTGCATGTAGGTACCAAGGTCTTTTTCCCCTTCTTTTTGGTGATTCGCAGGGCCCTGTGACCTCCGGCTCCCTGGAGATTCTGCACTAGCACTGGCTTGAGGGGATAGCTTAGGAAGAACCTGGCTCTCTTTGTTATGGTGATTCCACCTGTAATCAAGGTTCTAGCAGTGGGCTCCATATGCCTGGCCCCTCCCAGCTGATTCTACCTGAGGCGCC